TCCATCTATTCATCCATCCATCCATCCATCCATCCATCCATCCATCTATTCATCCATCCATCCATCCATCCATCCATCCATCCATCTATCTGTCTATCTATCAGTATATACTGTTACGTGTCCATAATGACCTCATACTACCTATCAAATATTGATACATGTACGTCATAGACAACAGATATACAAGTAAAACAGATATACAGATATACAGTACTATTTACAAGTAAAATATTGCACCTAAAATGCGCAATTATAGTAATATAAATTTATCAGTTTATTTGAAACAAGAAATGTACGCACGTTACTTTACATCCATAATTATTTCATGATTTCGTCGCATTACATCGTTTTAAATGATTTTCTCTTTCACCTTTTGATTTCCGTATAATCACTGCCAAACTACGAGTATGGTTACATAGCACCTACATTACTACATAGGTACAGCTTTACATGAGGTTCAGTAAACTACGTAAGCCGACGGTGTTTTGCCCTAAGGCACACTGTATACTGGTCACACAACTCTAACAAACAGAGTGTAAAACACTGTTTCTACACGAGTGAAAATATTAGCTCGTAGTTAATTCATGTCGAGCATGCAAACGAAATCTCAATAACAGGATGGTCACACCACGTCGCCGTTAGTATGCTAACTTTCTATTATTTCTATATATTATTTCTATATAACTTTCTGATTATGTGCTCCATCTAAGCATAATGGTGGCGAACAAACTGGCATTTCCGAATATTATTTGTGGAAACAACGCTTTTCGCCATAATCGCGTAATTTAATTATTTGAGAAAACCCGTATTATTTTGAAACGTCATGAGCTATCTAACCCGGCTGTCTTACAAATGTTCTAGCAGACGGATTTATAAAATACATGCTCAAATCTGTGAACATATTAACTTGCAGGGCAAATGTTCGACACTATTACTTATTATAGTTTGTATATAAATATAAACATCACAACGCGATAAATTGTCAACGAAGCAACAACACATGCAATGAGAACAATGGCACGTACAGAATGTAATCACGAATAGACATTCATATTCATCAAACAACTAACATAACAAGAGGTTACCCAAAACTGAAAATCCAATTATGCATGCTTATGGCTGAGAAACCATTTCCCATATATAGGGATTCTTATCCGTTATTTGTTGGGAGCATAACAACCGTTTCTGTCACTTTCTGATATTAGTTACTAAGATCTCTGCCATAACGTGCAGGGGCCTTCTAACCTAACTACACAATTCCTTCTGGTGATTCGAGCGACAGCTCGCATTGACTATAGACGACAAATATATGCCCGCGGCATAGGCAACGCGGCATCGAATTGGTGTTCGCAATTAATCGAAATAAAACTGCAAACGTGTAATCCTAATGGGTATCCTAATTTGTATAAAATACAAATAAACACGGCTGTTATCGTGTTAGTGTTGATCTTTTATCTATATCCTATATCCTTTATCTATATCTATATCTTTAATCCTATCATTTGTCAAATTACATTGTTGCGGTTACATTCGACTAATTTCAATACACACAACATTTGAACCTTTTTCGACGGCGAAGTGACTGCCACATACTATAAATATATAAATATATATAC